ACTGACCTTGAAATCCTTTATTTTGAAATTGTGAATAATGAAAATGTAAAGAACAAGGCGATTGAAGCCAGATGAATTCGGAGGAAGGTGAGTATAGAGATATGGGGTTTTGTTCATCGATGATGTGGAAAGAATGAAAGAGACGGAATAGAATGTTTGAAACCATAAAGTAGTACAATTATGTAGAGAGATTATAATACTACTAAATAGTGTCATATTTGATTATATGATGTGATTGCAAAAAATCATTTACAACTACTCCGAATACTATGAATACTTAGGCTACCCACAACCCTATAGGTGAAAAGCTAATTTTGAAGTTTTGACTCTCGTTTTTGCTACAACCCGTGTATTTATGGGTGTCAAATTGTGCTAGATAGCACGGATGGAGTGGGTATTGAGAGAGCACATTCAAGGAGAGAGAAGGCTTGTGGTTCTCTAGAAATGTGGGCTAGGAATATTAAAAAAATCCCAAAAATATTTAATCTATTATAACTTTTTTACTTATAATCCATTTTTTATAAAAATTATATCAATATTCATATTTTTTTATTATCTTTCATATGACACCAATATTATATATATAGAATTTAAAAAATAAAATATGTGTTTTTATCAATTGGAGATTTTTATGTTCAATAGTTATGTTAAATTTCTAAAATTAAGACTTCATGGGTAATTTTTTTTTTTACACCTCCGAGTTATTTATTAGAAAATAGGTATAAATTAACAAAAAAAATTAAACTTCAAATTTATTTATTTTTACATCAAAATGTTTTACTTTTAAAATCATAATTATTTGCAAAAAGAAAGTTGAGAAAAAATTAATGTATAATAGTAAAAGCAAGGTTTTAATTAGGAAAAGTTTTGCTGACTGAATATATTGACGGTGCTGGATTGCAGTAAAAAATAAATTGACTGAATGAATACGTATAAATTGGTGGGAAATTTGATTTATTGACGGAACAGGTTTGCGGTTAGCCTTATAGGCTTATAGCAATTGTTTGTGCACATTAATCCATCATAAAAAAGGGTTCTTGCAAAAAAAAGGTTCTTTAAAAACCTAAAGTATCTCTAGAGTGCATGACACACTGTTGTAAATAATTTAAGCTTTGTTTGAAGAGCACTTTTGGACTTTTTTGGCAGCAGATGTCAACAAAAGGGTAACAGTGTCAACACACAAAAAAGCAAAAGGGTAACAGTGTCAACACATACACAAAAGAGGGTGCCCGAAGTAGTTTCTAAGCTACGCGAAGAGAGCTAGAAAAAAAAATTACAGAATTCAAAACATAAATCTAACTCACTGAGCTTCTCGGATTGAGAATCAATTAGCACCCTTAGCTCGATAACTTCTTCACCGAATTCGGTCTATTTGTAAACACTTCAAATTACCCTTTGTAACTCAATACCAAATTGATGATCGTCTGAACTCCCCTTTTCTATCACTTGATATATAATAATTGTTTATCTCCCCCGACATTCCATCATCACAAACCAAAAAAGTCCCCTAAATAATTTGTCTCGAAAGAAAGTGGAAGTTAGTTTGTGAGAACATTCATAACTTGTAAAATCCAATAAAGCTCATGATTCACTGATTGTATATAATGAAACAAATTGAAAGGCCATTTTGCTCCATTTTTTTTGAGTAAAAACTGTATATGTCTTGCGGCAATTGATTTGGTACGTCAGTACGTGATTGTAAAGACGAGGAGCAAAAAATGGAGCAAAATCTTTTACTTTAATACTATGTATTAAGATATGATGGATATGTCAAGTACTTAAATTTTGAATATGAGTATGAATAAAAATGTAATTTTTAATGTCATTATGAATACAAATATCAATATAAATATAAACATAGATGTACTTATAAATATAAATGCAGTTTTGAGTTATCATATCATTATAAATTTTTGAAATGGCTAAGTATGAGGATATATTTGCATGTATCACATTTCGAGGATTCAAAAGAATATGAATATGGCTTTCAAAAAAAAACATGAATATGACAACATATTAGTTAACGCTTAGTACCTTTGTAGATTAGATTTTGATATGCTAACTTGCTAAGTAGATTATTTGATATGGGGTATTTCTTACACTAGTCAAATGTTAAATTTTGATATGCTAAGTAGATGATTTCAAATTTACTTTTACATCACCTAGCTAGAGTATTACTCTACATAGTTAATACCTTTGAAGTTTTACACAAAACCCGATTGAGAAAATTCCTTAAATAAAACTAAAAGAATGATTAAGTTCATAAATATGATCATTATCTTTGTTTTATTCCCGAAATATGTCTCATTCATTCATATCTTGAAAAGTTTTGATCAATCCAATCTTTTACGTAGTAATTTTTTTAATATCCTCGCAAAAAAACCTAATCTTTTAATAAGACTAAACAAATCTTATTTAGAGAATAAAACATAGGTAGTCCTATTCATGAAGATTGTTTATGTTTTAGTTCTATATATTGAATAACTTCTAAGGATGTTTTCTTTTGGACTGTTTTCAGTCCCAGATCAGACCAGATCAAACAAGACCAGACCAGACCAGACAAGACTTAAACATACCATACCAGACCAGACCAGACTTGAATAGTTATAAAATACACAGAGACCAGACGTTTACCAGACCAGATCAGACCAGACTTAAATAGATCAGACCAGACCAGACCAGACCAGCAAATTTCAGTCCAAAAGAAAACATCCTAAATACTCTACCAGATAATTCATCCTAAGCAGGGGCGGACCCAGGAAATTCATATTGGGGGGGGCGATAAATTAAACAAAAAAAATCTAGGCGATTATTATTATAAGTATAACCTTAATATAATACGGAGTAGTAATTAAATGAAGCATTATACTTGAAGAAGAGACAAATATATTATTACAAAATAGTTAAAGTTAGTACCTTAGAATTGTACCCAACGCTTCTTCAACGAGATAAATTCCTCAATCACGGCTTTTTAGTCAAAAGTTTTAGCAATTTCTCTTTCAATATAAACAATAAGGTTGTCTGCAACATACTCATCCTCCATTTTATTGTGAAGCCTTATTTTTATAATTTTCATTGCGGAAAAAGTCCTTTCGGTTGTTGCTGTCGAAACCGGTAGAGTCAACAAAAGTCGGATCAATTTATCAACAAGCTAAGAAAGTACACTTTTGACATCTCCGTGTCCGCTAATCTTTGACAAAGTTCACCCATTGTAGAAAAATTCGCCAACTTTGGATGGTTTAGAACATTGAGCTTATAATGTTGCAATTGAAACCTCAAGCTCACCTTCTCCTGCTCAATAAAATCAAAGGGGTAATATTTATCCACTAAAGAACAGATATCATCAATGTTAAAAGACTTATATGAGTCCTTAGGATCCAAAGCACCACTAAGAATAAGAAGATCCATTATTTGTTCACCGAATCAGCTATTCAGCTCCAACAATTATGAATCTATGGCTGCGTAAAACATATCAACCCGATAGTGACGTTCAATATCAAACCCTTCTTGATCATGGCGTTTGCGTTTTACCGCATAAGGAGACTTCATATTAGGAACTTCAATTTCATGCTTTGTGCAAAACTCTTTAACAATTTCTAAGAAGTTATCCCATCCACCCTCCCTTAACTTTTGGATCAACATTTTGGTGCTTAACACCAAATGCATAGCATTTACTATGTCTTGGCAATTCTTCTGTATATGCTTACATAGAAGATCTGTAATGCCCATAATTTCTTTAATAAGATGCAACAAGAAAACAAAATCAAAAGATTTAATCTTCTTAAGTTCTCTAGCTGCACTTCCACGAGTAGAATAGTTATTGCCATTCTCTTCAACATCTTCTAAAACAAAACAAGTTGCAGCAAACATCCTAATCAAACTGCAAACAGAACTGAAATGTGAGCTCCAACGAGTTTCCCCAGCTTGTTGTAATGTACCAACCTAATTAAGTCCTCTGCTTGTTTCAAGCTCACCAATTTCCAACATTCTTGCAATTTCAAGTGTTTGAGCTTCCTTTAATTCATCACTTCGTTTGCAAGAAGAATTAGTCACATTAATAATAAAGACTGAATCGATGAAAAAATTGTGCACATATTTCACCTCTCTAGAAGCAGCAACCAATGCTAATTGCAACTGATGTGCTAAGCAATGAACATAGTAGGCATAAGGACAACCAGTTAAAAATAATCGATCTTTCCGTTTCTTTCTTCTAGGTGCGCATGTTTTTCATTAGTTTGGTCTGGGCGGTGGGCTGGGATTAGATTTTGGGGTGTGTTAATGGGGAATAAATTTTGGAGTGAGTTGATATAATATTACTTGTAAAATTTCTATTTTTTAGGCTCTTAAACAATTGGGTTTCTGCGAGTGGGCTATGCTTTGGGGGAGAAAATATTTTTTTGGGGGATCAAAATTTTTCTTGGAGGGGTGAGAATTAAATGTTGGGGGGGTAAAAATAAAAATTTTGTGTATATATATATAGAGGACTGCTCAGGTCCCTCCGGAGGGACGGGAGGGACCGTCCGAACTTTACTGTTTGGGGCGGTTCCCGGTGGAATTTTTTGATGAAATTTTTTGAGCATGTTCCTCATCAAGTCTAGTTTGTCCATACCAAATTTCAGCTCAAAATTCGACCGAGAAGGCAGTCAAATAAATTCTTGAAACTTACTGCACTTTATATATGCGCAGAATGTGCAGTAAGCTTCAAGAATTTATTTGACTGCCTTCCCGGTCGAAGTTTGAGCTGAAATTTGGTATGGACAAACTAGACTTGATGAGGAACATGCTCAAAAAATTTTATAAAAAAATTTCACCGGGAACCGCCCCAAACAGTAAAGTTCGGACGGTCCCTCCCGTCCCTCCGGAGGGACCTGATCTTTTCTGTATATATATATACTAAAAAAATTGTTGGGGGGCGTCCGCCCCTGATCCTAAACATTTTATTACTCAAAATACTCCATAGAATCAATTCTAATCTTATTAAAAATATGGAATCAGATTCACGCGAGGAAAAAGAATCCCACAATGCAGTCTCGCGGGCCGTGGTTTGTGCGGCACAAGATTCACGCTGATAACCCAACCCCATATCTATGAACTGCAATAAAATTATCGGAGTCCTATTTTAGCACCTACCGATCTCATTCAAAGATTTTCCTCTTCATCTACGCATCTCGGCATCTATCTTCTTCATCGGTTCAACTTTCCGATCTGTATTTTCAATTATATAGTGAAAATTTTGCAAGTTCATATAATAAAGCTCCTATCGGCTGTCGCCTGAGATCTTGAAATTCCGAGAGCAGAGAGATGGCAGGAGGAGGGAACACTTCAAAGCCTCCATCTTCCAACTCAGCCAATCCGAAGCCACAGACACAGTCACAGCAACAGCCACCGCAGGCTGCCAATGCTTCCAACCGGACGCCCCGCTGGGAATCTCCCGGAAAACACCGCCCTCCCAAGGAATCCAAATCCTCCGGTTCTGGTTTAGCCGATAATAAACCCAAGCCCTCTCCTAAAACCGGCAAAGAAACTGCGTCTGTAGCGGCGAACGCAAATAAATCGCTGCAGCCTATGTCAAGATCCAATTATCGTTCACCCAGACCTGACCGAGATGCAACCGTATCTGCGTTACCTCCGTTTCCTTTCCAAGATCCTCCGCCGCCTCCTACCTATGGGTTTCATATGCTCGAAAGAAGGACCATCGCGCTTGCAGATGGTTCTGTTAGGCCTTACCACGCTTTGCCCTCGAATTATCCGGATTTCCCCTCTTTCCCATCTAGGGATTTCCGCGGCCCGGGATTAGGCTTAGATAGACAGTTTCCTATGAGTCCGGAATTCCGACCCGAGTTCAGGAATCGTGAGAATCCGCTAATGTGGAACCGGAATCCGGATCATTGGAATTCTTTAGGGTTAGACGGGCCGGGTAGTGGTCCAGGGATGGGTCTGAGTGGGTTTGACAATAATCCAATGAAGAGGAAGTTCGGGGATGAAGCACTGGAAGTCCATGGTGGGCTTGAGAGGCAAAGGCAGCAGCTTTTGCAGCAAGGGAATGCTAGCAACTCCCCTGGGACTAGCGGGTTGTACAGGAGAGATGTAGGAGATTCTAGGCCTGCCAAATTTATGAGGTCTATTGAGGCCAATGTAGGTCAGCTTAAGCATCATAGTGTTGATCAAAATGCCTTAAAGAAGGCTTTTTTGCACCACGTTAAGGTTATTTATGAAAACATAAGCCAGAAGAATCGATATTTGGCAGATGGAAAGCAGGGCCGCCTTCACTGTGCCGTCTGTGGCAGGTTTGGAACTAAACTAGGATCGTCCCTTATAAAATGGTCTATTATCTTGTTCACTAGTTTCTGTTTGGTAGATTTTGATTTTTGTTTGTTCTTTTTGAATCGGTAGGTTTTGATCTGCTATGAACAGGTGCTTGATCTACATTTTTCTATCCCATTTTTATTGACTGTGACCTTTATACATCCAATATAAATGTTAATAGTGAGACTGCATAGTGTCTGTTTCGTTTGGAACATTCATATGCTGTGCATTTACATTAATAGCTTTAATAGTACCCTACAAACAAAATAATAATAATCCTGTTTCAGGATTTTTTTCCTTTCCAAAAGTATAGTCCAGTTTTAAAGGCTAAGTAGCATCCTAGTATGGCCAAGTAGTTAGCAGTTTTGTCCAATTACTCCAAAAAAAGCTTGCAAACAAATCTTAGGGGTTAAAGTTGTACCTTGATTGAGTTGACTTAAAACAAAAAATCTGCACCTTTTCAAATATGGTTCCTTTATTGGGACTGAGTTACTGAGTTAGTGTTTATTAAAGTGGAAGGCTAATTAGGAATTAATCCAATTTAGTCATAGTCTGCATGTGGTCTTGGTTTAGAGCTGCCATTTTCTTCCACCGTGTCTTTCTATTGGTTTGTTTTTTTTGTAGCATTCTCAAATACCCATTGTAATTGTTAATTTGTTAGACATGGGCAGTCACATTATATTTCGTACTTGGTGATACACGAGACATTGTGCATCATGAGGAAGAAGTGAAAGCAGTGATAATTTGTTAGACCACATGACCCTTAAATTTCTTGAGCAGATTTTTTTCGTGTACATGCTTGTTGTCCTTGTTTAGTCTTCTAGAATAGAATCTCTATTTTACCAGAAATGCTTAATATGTAATAAGCTCACACCATACCTTTCTTGGTTGTGGAGAAATGTTAGTTGTGGAGTTTCTGATGGTCTAAATGTGTTACTTCAGTGTTTCGTAATGGTGATGATCAAAACCAAACTTTTGCTGAATAAGAATATCTGAATATTGAATAATAGTCAAATAGGTAAGGACTACCAAACTAGAGTTGCTTCAATACGTTTGGTGGTATTGATATTGGATACGTTGTTGGCACTTAAACGTGTGCTGCTTTTGTTATTTGAAGAATTTATTTTGCAATGGTTGTCAGCTCATATTTATTTTGTTGTCTTTGTAACTTGGGCACCCAAGTTAAATTTTACCATAGCTTAGTTTTGATAACTATAAACATTAGTATGTAATATAGTTATGTGCAAGCATCTTGTATTTGGTTACCACATACCTTGCTTTAGGATATACAGTTATGATACCCAAGATGTGATATTTAGCTCAATGGGAAAAGGTGGTAGTGGTAGTGGGGTGCTGGTTCAATGAGGTGCTGATCTTTTTGCTTGTTTATTCTTGGAACGTTGATACTGCTGCTTTCTTGTGTTTTTTTCGCATTTTTATGCAACAATTGTTATTTAAGAAAATTTGTATATATACTTGACCCTGAGAAAGTTCCTATCAATGTAGTCAAAAGAGAGCGCTTGGGCACTTAAGTGCATTAGGTGAGGTCCAGATGAACCCTAGTGACTGAAAGGGTGCCAGGCACAGCAGCCTGTCTTAGGCACAAGTCTGGCGCAGAAGCGGTGATGCGATAAAAAGCGCTAGCTTTAATCTCCTGATGGGGGAAACATGTTTCAACCTTTTTTTTGTTTGAGACCATTTTAAATAATAAGCCTATATTTTTTACTCCTATATAAGATTAAGTCAATCCAAATAAAAGTTCAAAACAACTTAGACCTACATTAAACCGTATAAGTCCCAGTTCTGCTCTACTCACACTACCTCTCAGCTTTGAAAGCAGCTCTACGATCAACCACAGTAAGTTTTCTTCTTCATGGGGTGAATATGGGGATGGCTTGACATGGGGTGCTGTGAGTAGTGCAATGGGAGAAGAAGAACCAATCAGATATACTAGGAGGCAGTCCACAATTCCTATTCCGAATACTAGTCGCATGGATGAGCAAAGTGATAGAGAATTTGAAGAAGATGGAAGAAAATTTAAATAAAAAACGGAGAAGAACCCCCCTCCCCCCTCTTTTAGTGACGAATAGTCCTTGAGAGTTTGAACAAGGGTAGTTGGGCTAGAATCAAATTATGTTTTATTTTTAGTTTTACTATTTAAATTATGAGTTCTAAATTCGGTTGTTTTGTTTTTGTGAAACATGACTTTATTTTGGTGAGTCATGATTTTATTTTGGTGAATCTTGACTTTATTTGGCGAATCATGATTTTAGTTTGGTGAATCATGACTTTATTTTCGAGAAATACAACTTTTTAGTGCAGTAGATTCAATATGATGTTATATACATCATGTTTGATAATTGTAGAATAGTATGCGTAATATTTTCTAAGAGAGTGCTTTCTTGTGCCTTGCACCTCAGGCGATAGGAGTACTCTAGCCTTAAGTGCGCCTCGCGACTTTGACTACCTTGGTTCCTATTGTTTTTGTTATCTTGCTACTCTGCTGCTCACTATGCCACATGCTTCAGAGTGAGACACATATCCAACATGCATGTGAATATTCACATTTTTATGTTCAAATCTAGGAATTATTTGTAGTTGAATTCCGTAAAATTTTCAGAGCTTACCACTTCTACCAAAGGAGTAAATAAGATTGTTGCATTCAGACTTATGAACTTCAAACTAAGTATTCTTATCAATCTTGGTATTGATGACAGTGATTTTTCTTTAAAGATTTTCATGTTTGAGTCCCCTTTTCTTGTTAGTATTTAGGACATTCGAGAGCTATTTACATGATTTCATTTATATTATGGATGTTTCACTCCTTCCATCCATAGAAGATAATCTTGGTAATAAATCTGTGTGGGAAACAATCCTTGGTCATTTGGTTGTGCTTGGTTATGTACTTATGTTCATATGCATACGTGTTTATATGCATTTTTGCTGGCTTTTCCTAGAAAAGTCAGTTGAGGTCTGAATTTATTCTAGTTGAACTTATTTGTAGGATTTTCGTTCTCGACTGTCCCCAGCACATGTAAATACTTCTTGCAACTTCATATTCTCAATAGTCTGCACATTGTTTGTACGTTGAACAGAAACCAGTATCCATATAGCTCTAGATTGCCCTAGGTTTATTTTATTTAATTTTATTACAGTGCCTTATTATGATTATTCTCTGTTTCTGGAGTAGTTTAGATGTTGGTGTACGCTGAACATGAGCCTTCACACTGTTCCACAACCTTTGACTTGGATTTGTCTATCGATGTGACTTTGGAGGAAAGCCATCCTCATCATCATCATTACCCCAGTGCCGCAAAGACTCCCACCTACGGTGGGTAAGGGGTCGGATGTACGCAGCCTTATCCGTGTACTAAAGCACAGAGAGCTGTTCCCGGATGACCCATAGTGACTTTGGAGGAAAGTCTTAACTAGCTTGCTAGCATATAGGAATAAAAGTGAAGTAGGAGGAAGTATAAGAACATTAAAGAGCTTCTATTATCGTTAAGAAGCCAAAGGTCAAATGTACTGTTTTCATTAGATTAGAAGGGGTTGGGTGGTTTAGTAGTTATTTACAGGGAAACAATGTGTAACTAAGATAATTGAATGTTTCAGCCTCCCCTTCAAGGTGGAGGGCCTATGGTTCAGGACTCAGGACTCAGGACACGTGTCCTCAGTTGATTGTGCAAAGACTATTCTTACTCTGATAGCATGTAGGGTGCCTGTAGTGGATGTCAGTGATTACAGTCAGGAGTTAAGGACAGAGAGGTACCTTCTTTCATCTATTGATAAGGTGGTGGAGCTCATGAGGTGGGCCAGTCTTATGGTTCCTACTAGGGCTTTCATTTCGTCTTCATGTTTCGGCTGGCACTGATGCCTTGGCCAAGGCATTTGAGCTATAATATACACACACTAATATTTCCTAGGTTGAAGTTTGAAGGTCTTATGGAAAATTATTCTTTAGTCTTAAGCTTTATATGTTTTTTAGCGAGTATAATCTTTTCTTTATTGGAGTTGTGGATCTTATAATGTGATTGAGTGACATAGTAGTCCTACCTAAGTCTTTTACCATCTTGACAAATGGCATTGTCTTGATCTTATAACTATAGTGTTTTCCTAGTTGTTTATATAGATCATTGTTTTCAAATATGAAACATTTGTTTGTGAGCAAGTAAAAGTTTTTGGAGGATTTTGCTGAATATTTTAAGAATAGAAAAAAGTTGCAGAGGAAATTAGCAATGTCATCTCTTGCTTCCAGAACAAAAATAAATTGGGAAAAGGAAGAACATTTATCCTCTTGTTTCTAAATTATAACTTGTACTCCAGAAATATGGTAATTATTGTTCATGGTAGGTTGCTAAGAAATAACCCTACTGGTTATCCAGTTAACTTTGAATGACTACTGATCAAATTACAGAGTATTGCAAAATTTCTTGCTTTATGCCTCATTGCACCTTGTGCCTTTTTAACTATGGTATTAATAAACTGAAGAGCACTGCATTTTTATCTGTGTAAAGTCTAGGCTTTTCCCTGATATACACTCCCTGATATTCAATATGTAATATGCAGTGCTTCACAAGATTTCCCTGACATGCATAGCCTGATTATGCACTCCTACAATTCAAACAACGCCGACTCAACCATAGAACATTTAGGGTTTCATAAAGCATTGTGCTTTCTAATGGGATGGAACTATTCGGTACCTCCTAACCATTCAAAGGCGTACCAGTTGTTATCTGCTGATGAAGCATCTGCTAACCAGAATGACTTGATCCTGTGGCCTCCATTGGTGATCATCCACAACACTATGACAGGAAAGCGTCCAGACGGCCGTATGGAGGGTTTGGGTAATAAAGTGATGGACAATTACCTTAGAGGCATGGCCCACTCTCTTGCATTTTTTATACTGCTATTCATCCAGGAGATGCTCATATTTTTAATTTTCTTTCATGAAAAATGAAGGGGTGTGCATTTAATGGAATGTTCACACATTTTTGCTTTCAGATGTAGGGTTTCATGGGGGAAAGTCAAAAGCAATATACAGCAGAGAAGGTCATTTAGGAATTTCCCTTGTGAAGTTTTCCGGTGATCAAGCCGGTTTGAAAGAGGCTGTGAGGATGGCTGAATACTTCCTCAAAGACAACCGTGGGCGCAACGGTTGGGCACGCGTGCAGCCCTTTACTACTTCAGGAGGGGCGGATGAAGATAACAATCCGGACCTAGTAAAGGTTGACCAGAGGACGGGGGAGAAGAAGAGAGTGTTCTATGGTTACCTGGCAACGGTTTCTGATATGGAAAAGGTTGATTTTGAAACAAGGAAGAAGGTATCTATTGAGAGCAGACGAGAATTGCAGTCTTCTTCCTAATAAAACAAACCCCGCGAATGGTAAACTCTTCTTCCGGCTAAGTTACAATTTCCCAATTTGCTTCCATCATGCTTGCCTAGAAAAAGTACCGCCTGTTCACTTGATCTGAAGTTCACCTTTTTTATTTGGGCTGATTTATTAATTCCGTGAACACAAATGATACATGTTGCTCTTCCTTTATTAATGATTACAGGCTGGTGTTAATTCCATCCACTTTAGCTAGTTAGCTGTTCTGGTTACTTGTTTCATGAACAGATCTGTTGGTTTTAGTAGGATATATCCTACTTAAAGTCCTATGAGGGTGTGGGTTCGTGCCTTAATTGGATGTAAGATAGCCCTGATTAATAGGATTACTTCCTCAAAAGTAAAGTGAGATTATGGGAAGACTCAGAGATAAACTTAAGCTCTGTTTTTTCCTAGGTTGTGATATTACTTATGATGCTAAGTAGCTACTGGAAACGTCGTTATAATTTCAAATATTAACACGGTATCTTACAACAGCTAACAATTCAATCACAGCCCCTACAGCTTCACCTTAGTGAACTATGTGGTGGTTTTCTCATATTACCATTGGTAATCTGTAATTATGAAGGTGATGTGAGGTTACCTGAATGTAGGGTAAAACGCAAGTGAAGAAAGGGCATACTCACCTTAGGAGTGGCATATTCTAGGTGACATAGGAGATGGTTGCATATCATCTTATTTTTGTACGGGTGAAGAGGATTTGAGGGAATATTTGTTTTCCTAAATGTGGATGTCTCGTTTAGCAAGACATGAACCTAGCCTGGTTCTTGTTTGGGACCAGCTGGTTCTTATTAAGGCCAAGGGGGAAGCAGAACCTTAACTGGGTATACCGGTTCTTGAACTGAAAAAACTGGTGCCCTGTTTGGCTGTGAATCCCCTAGACCCGGTCTGCCCCATTTCACAATCAAGGCTGGGAAATTCCCTTGCCTCAGTCAAGCTAGTTGGATTAGCCAATAGCATTGTGTTTTATCTGGATGCATATTGCTTTGTAGTCATTGTGGGTTGACCCGGACGGGTTTTCTAAAAATCTCCATCCAACTCCCTCACTTGTAGCCCAGGAGCTAGAATAAAGCCTCTCTAATAACACTTTTCAGAACGCTCATCAAGATACTTTCAAAGTTTCAATGCTTTGTTTTCTCTTCATATAATAATGCATCCCTGAGGAGTTCTAATACTTTACTCCTGTTATTAGTGTTAGGTTAAAAAATGAAAGGGCAGGTTAGTCATTAGTTTAGTATTTTGAGGTTGTTTTGATTTAGTAATGCTTATTCATTACTACATACTATATTTTGTTATATTGGCTCGGGTCGTTACTGTGCATTCATTTTGTTATAGCCAATTCAGGTCTCTTGGTTTTGGCTGATTGTTTTCGAATTGAATCCCTTTGTTTGTTGTGCCTTGCTTTATTACTTGATCCTTGTCCATGTTGTGGTGTGAATAAAGGCACAGACAGATACTAGTATATAATGTCATTCCAGCTTCTCACTTAAAGAAATGAATGAATGAACATGTACGTAGAATGGCAGAAACAAAATGTTTGCATTAGATTGAAAATAAAATAAAAAGTAATTTTAGATTTCTTGTTCAACGATTCTGTCTTTGTTCGTTTGAACTTTGAACATCAATCAATAATAATAATAGTGGAAATGTGTCAGGTTCACATGCGCTGTGGAATTAGTGCGTATATCTTTGTCTGCCAGACGCTTTTAGACCACACTAGTTGCAACTTTATCCACAACGATAATAATAGAATATATTCATTCATTATTTGGAATTTGGATTTTAATACCTATTAAGACTGCAATTTTATATTAGAAGGATCATGGCCTAGGGGTTAAATATTGTTAAGTTAGTAACTAGTATTCCAGCCTTTCCAGGACTCCTAGTAAGATTGTCTTTCTCTTTGAGTCTGTTCCTAAGATTGTCTTATATCAAATTTGGTAAATTTTTGTAGTTCTAAATATTTCTTATTTTATTTTTGTTATATGAACTCAATATAAATTACATAAACTTATGTTCCTTAATAATTGTATCACCTCCTTTTGTTTAATGTTGGTGGGATGAAGGTGGTATAATTAAGTTCAAAATTCAGTCAAAATCATACTAGTACTAGTACAGTAGTACCAATTAAAAACAAGAACTAGTTTGATTTATGGGTGGATTAGGCTGGGTCCAGGTCGGGCTACTGGGCGGGCCCCGGGTCCAAAAATGTCAGTCCAGGTACCGGCCAGGGTAGGTACTGGTTCGGGTCGGGCTACCTCTTCGGGTTTCAGGCCGTTTTGGGTCGGGCTAGGAACCTTCCCAATTAATTCAAACCTATTTTTTTAAAACAAAATGGCTGTTGGGCCTGGTCCGCTCCACTAAATATTGATCTCGTAGCCTGTTGCTTCTTCACTTGGGTTGGGCCTCGAGCCTGGTCCTGGTCAAGTAGTCAACTATGCCGGGTTGAGCTTGCACAGTGCCGAGTTGGGCCGATTATTGGGTCGTGCCGTCCCGTCCCATTTCAGTAACAAAATGTCGTGAGGTTAAATAGTACACAAACTCCAGTAATTACACAAACACCAAATGTTCGAAATGTAGAAAATTAGCCATGTACTCCGAAGATTGCACCGAACTGACGTAAAGTATTTTTTTAATATTACATGTCTCGTAGAATTTAAATAAGTTGCTTCAAATCATCAGTGTCAAATAAATAACTAAACTAACTAGACTTTTATGTGGTAACATTGAAATTAATTGAATAAAGTGAACCAATTGCAATTGGTGAAATTTTGTCTAATAAAGTGGTCGAAATGGAATTAACAGTAATGTCAAACACCTCGGACAAATAAATAAATTGAATGGATTCAGTCAAATTATTGGTGGACTCGGGCCGGTTCGGGCCTGGGCCTGGCCGGGCCTCGGGCCAGGAAAGTTGGGCCTGAGCCTGAACTGCCGGTGGGCGGTTCCGGTTCCGGGCCAAACCGGGCCGGGCCGGGCCTAACCGGTTTTAATTTTTTTTTTTGGCTCTTCTATTTAACCCCCAACCCCTCTCCCTCAACCCCAAACCACCCCAAACCACCTCAAATGGCCCAAAATACCTAATCCAACCCAAAACTTAAAAAAAACTCAAAAAAAAAAAATTAAAAACCGGCCCGAACCGGGCCCGAACCGGCCGGGCCGGTTCACCAAAAACTGGGCCCGAGTCCGAACCGGTGGACCCACCGGGCCCCGGGCCGGGCCGGGCCGGGCCAAACAGTAACCGGGCCGGGCCGGTTCCGGGCCGGGCCGCCCGGCCCGAGTCCACCACTAAGTCAAATAAGTAAATTAAGGGGCTGTTTGGTGGATCAAAAATAGGCTGATAAGCCTTAAAGTGCACAAAAATATCCAAACATCTACCAAGTTGGATACTTGAGATGACTTTTCTTATCACTTACATTTCCAAAGTTGATATGTATTCTACTATTGGCCATTGCAAAGACCCTTCAGCTCGCATGGGAAGATTGCCCTTTAGCTCGTTTGTATCAGAAGATCATCCCAAGGCCCAAGCCATTCGGCACTTCCTTCTCTTTGGCTGAGAAAAACTTGATTTCCTGATTATCTATTCATCTTGTGCATAATCTCTCTCGGATTTGATTTTGATTCATCCATTATATATCAGAATTGAACCTCTCAAATATCATTCTTATTTGATATAATTTTCTGTTTTTATGTTTTCAATTGGTAAATATTTGTAAATGCATCCAAAGAACTCCTTTGAGTTGAGACTCAAAGATACAGAGTAAATAACATCTTCAAACCCGTTTTTTGTCCCGAGCCCCCTGGACTCCTGGAGTTTTTCAAGATTTTTTAATTTTCTTTTCTCTTAAAAAAATCCCCCTTTTTTAGTTAGAATTGGAAATATCAAATATCACATAAGTAGGCTATGAAAGGAAATTATGTGCATTCGATGTTGAGCTTTTATATACCAGTTTAATACCCAACATATTACCAAAAACTTTTACTTCAACAGATTAACTCTATTCAGGCTTTTCGGTCATTTCAATTATTACCAAACAAACCCTTAGTTTTACTTATTTTGAATATTATACAATTTCGTGTGCGAAATCAAAAGGTTACGTGTTCAGTATAAAAAAAATAGTTTATAAAAAATTGAAAATATGGATCACCGAAAGAGCTCTTAGATTCCTATACGATAATCTGATAAAAATACTCTTTGTACACACTTTTTGATGTACACACTTCTATACATGTCTGTGTAGGTTTTTTTTTGTTTGTACAGACAAAACGTATTTTGACAATGCCATCATTGCTCACTTATATGTTGCGGGCTTTTAAGTTCTTACAATCTGCAAATGTCACTATACGAAACTGCCAAGTTTAACATACGCAAATGTCATGTTTTTTATATGAAAATTTTATAATCATTTAAAAATGGAATCTTTTTACGTTCTAAAAATGACACATGTTTAATTTACACCCGCAAAATACATGTGCATGGGAGCAATTTTATCCATTCCATTAGCCTCAGTTCAATTTTGAAACATTACATTGAACCGTTAAAGCCAATATTACCTGACCCGGATCCTTATCGGATGGAAAATCCAGTCATCCACAACTTGGCCTAGCATTTGGGGACGTGGTAAGTCTCAGTTTTGGGTGGACTTTGGGCGAGATGTTCAATCACCAACCCCTTCTTCTCCCTTCCAATTGTGTTACTTGAGTACTTGTCAGTCAAGTGCTCCACAATTTTTTTGATTAATTGATTGATTAAAAAATGGTTGGTGTTTTGTACAATTTGTTTTGTTGACATTTCCAAGATTTTTGTTTGCCCATATAGATTGTTATTTATATGTTAGAATGGATTTTGTTCCTATAGATGTTTTTCCTTTTGCATAGACAAACTCAGAGGCGGATCCAGGATTTCGGGACGCCTAGGTTGAAAAGTAAATATACTAGGCTTAAAAATTAGTGAAGTGGGCTAAATATGAAAAAATAAAAAATTTACACTAAAAAAATGATTTTTTTAACCTGGCTTGGGCTTCAGCCCACCATAGCCTATTTATAGATCTTCCCCTGGACAAACTTATTCAGACCAAAAATGTATAGACAAAATAATGTTGGAGTTTTTTGTTTGTGTAAAGAAGAAAATTTGTTGACTAATTGCATTATATGCTTGTATGAGACTCTTTTCAAATTGCTGTGTTGTTCTTTTCGAAATAGGAATGATTATTATCATCATTGAAAATTAGTGTTATTAATGTCGTTAAGTATTGTCATGTTCATGTCTGTAACTATTTTGAAAGTAATGATTCTAAAATTAATTGCAGCAAACACCATCATGTTACTTTTATTCGGTGAAGAAAATTTTTGAATCTTATGTACTTCTACGGGAGAACTTTCCCTTATTAAATAAAATAAATTTAAGTCTGATGTGAAATACACGAGTCATCAAAAACACGAGTGTTTAAT